AGAGCAGGATCAACTCGAGAGCTCCTGGGTCGCAGTCCTCTGCATTCTCCTCTCAGCAAGACCGAGAGGTCATACGCGCAGAAGTGTTCGAGACCGAAGCAGAAATTGAAGCCCGTGAGAACACTGACTCTGTCAACGAGATCATCATGGCGATTGACTTGAAGGATGGCGGCACGATTGGATGCGCGTACTACTCTGCTAGGGAAGAGAAGCTCTTTATGATGGCGGACATCAAGATGGCAGGTCTTGATATCATTGATACTCTCAAACTACACGCGCAACCCACCGTCGTCCTAATCAGCACTCGGTCAGATGAGAAGCTGGAAACCCACCTTAACAAGGATGCTCGTGGGATCGATCGGGGGGATGAAGCAAGTGCGTTGATTACCTGCCATGCAATTGTCATTGCTAACAGCCTCTGCTTCAGATGACATATTTGGCTCCTACGTGCTTGACGCGCGTGCTGCCTCTGAGTTCTCTTGTTACAAAGCCAAATTGAAGTTGCTCAATCTGGATATTTCTGGTGGTGGGAATTCGAATTTCGCCTTTACAACATCCGGAAACAATATGGTCGGAGATGCACCAGAAAACATGGGCAGACTCATGAGGCTTGCGGGCCTGATTGACCTTGACAGTGAGCTCACGGTACGCTGGCCTTCGAAGACATACCTTGGTGGAGGCTAACACAATCCAGCTGGGATGCGCAGGTGCGGTCATGGAATATCTAGGACGACGAAGGAGTGTTGACTACTTACCAAATGACGAAGAGGCTCTGGTAGCCTTTCGAATCCGCGCCATTGAGACGTTCACACTCTCAGATATGATGTATATCAATGCCGATACCTTAGCATCACTACAAATAATTCAATCTGAGAGACATCCGAATTCGCATATGCAAGGCCCGAACCAGGCAACCTCAGGAGCCAAAGAAAGTCTTTCGGTATATGGGCTGTTCTCACGACTTGCTCATACCCCACAAGGCAAACAGAAACTGAGGCGGATATTTCTACGACCCAGTTTGGACTCACGTGTCATCAAAGAAAGGTTGGGAACGACGAGCACGCTGCTTCAACCGGAAAATGCGCCCCTTCTAGACACGATGGTTAGAGGCTTCAAGAGGATCAAAGATGTGCGATCGGTCATAGTGCACCTGCATAAAGGTACCAGTGGTAGAGGTATCCGCAACGGTGCATGGGCGAACCTGCAAAACTTTACTTTTCACTGTTTGCAAGTTCTTGAAGCAGTCCGCGAATTGAAAGGTGGTCGAGACCTTACGGTCACTGCCAAAATCTTGGACCAGATACAAGGTGCTCATTTGACTGCAATTGGTACCATGATTGAAGAAGTTGTCGACTTTCAGCAATCAGTGGAACAGCACCGCACTGTCGTCAAGCAAGGTGTGGATTCAGTGTTGGACAGCATGAAAAGAACTTATGATGGTCTTGACAGCATGCTTACTCAAGTTGCTATTGAAGTCTCACACGCAGTGCCGGAATGGGCAGCTCAATACGTTTCCAATTGCATCTTTTTCCCCCAACTCGGGTTTCTCACGGTTGTCCCTCTCGAGCCGGAATCAGGCAAAGGAAAATATGAAGGCGAGGGAGTAGAAGATGATGTGTGGGAGAGAATGTTTACTAGTAACGACATGGGTTACTACAAAAATCGGAGAATGAAAGAACTGGATGATTTCTTTGGTGATATCTTTGGACTCATTTGTGGTACGTCAGAATATCTTCATATTCTGGTTGAAGCTAACCTTCTGTCCAGACAAAGAGATTGAAATTCTACACAGCCTCGCAGTCAGAATCTTGGAACATGAGCAATTCCTCCTATCTGCGTCAGAATTATGCGGAGAACTTGACAGTCTTGTCGCTTTAGCTCTGGGGGCTCGCGAGTATGGTTACAACGAACCTGAGATAACGACCAGGAATATTGTACAAATTAGAGGAGGCCGTCACCCTCTTCAAGAGCTGACTGTACCAGCGTATATCGCTAATAGCTGTTCTCTTGCTGGAGGTCCTGGAGATGAGTATGAAGACGAGGCTGGTCACTATGAGGACCACTCAGGCATCATCTCGACAGTCAAAGATAGTACGGAAGATCCTAGCATGCTCGTTATGACAGGTCCAAACTACTCTGGAAAGAGCGTCTATCTCAAGCAGAACGCACTGATTGTCTATATGGCTCATATTGGTAGCTATGTTCCTGCAGACACAGCAACGATCGGACTGACGGATAAGATATTGACAAGAATTGCTACCCGAGAAAGTGTGTCAAGAAATCAGAGCGCCTTCATGATCGATTTGCAGCAGATTGCTTTAGCTTTGAGCGTCGCCACAAACAGGACTCTGCTGGTAATTGATGAGTTCGGCAAGGGGACAAATTCTTCCGACGGTGCTGGTCTCTGCTGTGGTGTTCTTGAGTATCTTCTCAGTCTTGGGGTGCACCGGCCGAAGGTGCTCGCAGCAACCCACTTCCATGAGATATTCGAGAACGGGTACTTGCAGGACAAGACTAACTTGTCTTTTGGCCACATGGAAGTTCGTGTTGATGAGGCCGCTGAAGCCGCAGAAGACCAGGTCACATACCTCTACAATTTCGTCCCCAGCCGAAGCAATTCAAGCTTTGGAACTACTTGTGCCATGATGAATGGCATTGATCCAGCTATTGTAGACAGAGCAGAAGAGTTGATCCTGATGGCATCTCGAGGTGAGGATTTGGTCCTAGCTTGTTCCGCAATGAGTCCGGATGATACCCAAAACTACGAAAATGCAGAACAAATAGGCAGAAGATTTATTGAGAAAGAACTGCCGCGCCCAGGGGACAAGCGTCAAGATGGAATCGACATCCGAACTCTTCTAGGCGATGTTTTATCTGTGGGTTGAAGCAAGCGGGTACGAGCAATTCCGAGGCGAAACTTTTCTCACATATGCGACTGCCGCCCATAGATTTTGCTGTATTATATCTGCAATCCCTGGAAGCTAGCTTATTCTCGCTGCAGTATACTTTATAGAGTTGGCAGCGTGACCATATTGCTGCTATGAAAAAAATGAAAAGACCCTCTGACAATTAAACATCTCTAGTTTCGTGATAGGATGATCTTTGATCTTCAAACCGTGGTTTTGAAATTTAGCGAGAGCTACGAAACAGAGAATGAATCCGATACTTCAACGGCACTTGCCTGCTCACTGATCGCCAAGAAACGTACCCATGAAGGTGCATTAATAAAGCCTGTTTCATGGGCATCCGTCATGACGCAAGATTGCCGATTAGGACAAGGAACAGAGACACCGAGGAATTGCCTTCGACACGTTGCTCATGAGTCGAGCGCTGCAAACTGCCATCAAATCTCGCGACTCTGAACTGGCTCGAACAAAATGATGTCAATAAAACGCATTCTCGAATGTCATAGCTCCTCCAAGTTTGCACTAGCTATGACCGTATAGAGAGCAGACAAGAAATATGTTGCGCCTTCCAAATAAATGTGGAACACCAGAAGAAGACATTTTGGACGCAGCCTTTCCATGTGCATAATGTTAGCCAACGCGACGCCAATTTTTGTTTCGAGCCAATTATTCACGCGGGTTGGTTTGACTTAATTCTTTCCTTACTCGTCAGCCTCGCTTCACCCGTCCACGATACTGTATCTTTCGGTCACTGATGCATGTATCGGAAACAACATCCAAGAGAAGACCTGCAAGGAGTTATGTCACTTTTCGAATCTCTCCGACATGTCTTCTTATTGCTGGGATGATCCCCAAAATAGCCGATCTACACGCCTTACTCGCTTCAATAGCAAGGATAGTCGCTGTCATGGCATAACTAGCCTTCAGTCGATGCTGGCGTCTGGCGGTGTTTGTGGCAGATCAGTTACGCGGTCTCAATAATGCCTCTCAAGCTCCAGGGACATGTATCGAATCCCCATAGGAATAGTACTTTGGACACATCATACTGTTTTGGGATTGTACAACCAGTTGTTGAATAAAGTAAGTCCTTCGTTGGGCAAGTGGACTCGAGACGGCCGGGGTCTGGCTGTATCATATAAGTATTGCATAACATCTCTTGGAATTACTTTCTCGCAAGCAACTTCAGTAATTTTCAACGACAGGACTTCAGTATCAGAGTCACTCACTTTTCTCCAAATCACACCTTCTCCCTCATAACAAACACATATAACTTCAACTTTCAAAATGCAATACTCAAGCATTTTCCTCACAGTGCTCGCAGCAAGCGTTGTATCTGCTCAGGTGAGCATCTAGGATACAACCATTCCCGAGGATACGCATTAACAGATATTACAGTCTGCCACCAGTTCGTCGGCGTCTACAAAAGCAACCGGAAAGTCCAACTCTACTTCCAGCGGCAAAGCTTCAGCAACCGGATCATCTCCCAAAGCAACTGGAACAACAAGAGGGAACTCCACCAACACAACATCAGGCTCGCCCGTGCAAGTAAGCGGCAACAGCGCTGAGTCACTGATGTCGCAAGGCGGAGGTATGGTCACAATCGCAGGACTCGGTGTTGCGTTCGCTCTGTTCATGTAAAATGGGTTGGTAGGTTTTGGGGAATGGTCGGAACTCTGGTACAAGGCACAGGAAAATGTATACGTTGGACTGGTCGGTAGTCCTGACAGCGTGCTCTTCCACGTTGGAGCAGGGCTCTGGTAGATGGACTGTAAGAATTCTCTCATTAATTAGCATTTGTGAGGAGTGTGTATAAAGAAATAAAGCTGTGATCACTAGTACGTTCTGCTCCAGGCTCTAAGAAGTGTTCCACTTCTTCTCGTCAAAATCTGCAGTCCCTCGACCCACATTTGGCGGCTCACTGCAGCTCTCAAAGCTTCATCCTTTCCAAACAGATTTTTCCTTGTGTCAAAGACTGAGCACGCTTGACTTATTTGGTAATCTGTCGTTGAATCTTCGGGACGTGACAGGAAAGCTTTGCTGTGGATTTTCCAATGTATTTATGATGCCAAATAACACCCGGGTTCACATCAACATGGTCGGCTGGCCCAATGGCAAGGCGCTTGACTACGATGAATCAAGACATTCTGGCTATCAAGAGATTGCAGGTTCGATCCCTGCGTCGATCATTGAATAATAATTCCTTTTGCTTTTGCTCATGCTTTTGCTGTCCACACTGACCTGATGAAGGTATTCAGACTCTTCAAAAGCTTAGAGTCAGTTTTAGTACTTGGTTCAGGCAAGATTAGAGGAATAAATGTGGCGATCTCCTATTGCAAAACTCTCCTTGCTTGCTTACCTTTTACTTGCCCATTAGTTGTCGTCAATTTCCATGTGGAAGAAAATATCTTCTGGCTCAAAAAGCTAAGCGAGAAAAGACAGGGGTGCATATGACAACATCAATGTGCAAACAGGAAGTTCTAGACGAAGCCCAGGGAATCAGCTATTCGAATTTATTCAAAATCGGCGAGTCTGAGACATTCATTCTCACCGATACGCTTGTTAGAAGGCGTTGGACTTTTCGAGGGGGCCGATCGAGTCGCGTAACTTTCCTTTAAATGCTCTCACACCTTATCGCCCTTATCGCACAACTCTCCGTCTACGTAAGATTCAGCAGCAGAACCCTTAACAATCAGACGGTGAGACTTCGGAAAGTTCCGAGTCAGAACCGTCAGCATTAGCATCTGAAAAAGTCGTACAGATTCGTGCTTGCTGATTAATGGCCCATCATTGAGTCAGTATCTCAATGGACCCGGCAGCTAGTGCATACTCTGCCGCAAATTTCTTTTTGAAAATGTCCGACTTAGCTATTTTCAGCCATGGCTTTTGTGGTGCTCGGGGATATTGTTTATTTCCGGCGTCCATTTGTATATCTCCTGGCCTATACTGCACAGCAGATTACTTCTGGAGCTGGCGTACTGTGGGACCTCTGAATTCAAAATTGCTCTTCGCTTGTCTGTTTACTGCGCCTCAGGGGTTCTCATCAAGAGACGTTGAATCTGTCAAGAGGAAATGTGAGAACATAGCCAAAGCCGGCAGTTCATAATTTCCACATCAAACCAATTAAAAGGAAGATCGGTAATCATGTTCCATTTGCCAAGAGTCGTACCTCGCACGTCGTTCCGCGGACCTTTTTATATATATAATCAGCGGCAGCTCAGCTGCGGTCTCACCAAAACTGCGGGGCTCCGAGATGCATGCCCGATCTGTTGTTGAGTTTCCAAACCGAAGTTTGCAGCATTCTTGAGTTTATTAAGCCCGAATTCCGGCTGCTTATCGCCGTAACTCCCCGGGATGATGTTGAGATTAAGCAGCTGCCACCGCTTCGCTTGTGACTCCGATCGACAAGACTGGGATGTATTACCCACTTGGCGCTGACACCATGATACACTATGAGTCCATGAGAGGCTCTTTGTCATGGCCAACTGCTGCTAACCCGACGAAAATTCGGCCGAGCAAGTAGCTTCGCTGCGTCATTGTGTCAGATCCAAGGTATCCAAGGGACTTCTTGGGAATATTTCTAAGCAAAGCGCAGATTTTCCTCCGCTATCCCCTCTCAGGCTTTCCAGCGAGCGCTATCTATATCCGCAGACAGCGCTCCACCCACCAGGCAATCTGCAGCCCGGACGCCCGCTCCCGCTCCCCCTCCCCCTCGAGGCATTCTGCTTACTGCTTCCCAGAGCAGCGAGCTTTGCTGATTTGCTGCTTGGACAAGCTAAAACCAAAATCCACGGCAAGGCTTCAAGGGTTGGCAAAGTGCCGTCACTCAACCGTTTAGTCGCACTATAAGTACATGTTTCCTTTCATTCTTCGCGCATTTCCTCTGTCGTCAGTGACTATTGCTTTTTCACCACTGCCCACGGGGTGCCTTTCAACATGTTCAACGCTCATAGCGACCGTATGTACACGGCTCGAACAGAGGGCTTTCAGGAAATAAGAGTCCCTTTGCACAATGTCGAAAATAATGCAGAGCCCCGTGGAACGGAGCAAAACTCCCCGTCCTCTTCAGAGGTCGACATGCGTGAAGATGGGACTTGGGGGGAGCGGGATATTGGTGGCCCAGTCAATCTCAGGAACGCCATGTTGGATTACGAGGAGATGCGTCACGAATTGACCAATCTCTCCAGAACACGCAGCGCAGGCCAGAAGAGCACCAAAAGTACTGGGCAACATTCATCTGGGTTGAAGAGGATTACGACGGCTGGGACGCGCCGCTCTCACAGAAACCGAACCAATGAAACCAAACCAGATCTGGAGGCTCAAGACGGTGAAAAGCCAGAGAGAGAAGATGATGTTGCAGAGGAGGAAGATGACTTCGAGCTTGGAGAGTTTCTGAAAGATGGACATTTCGAGAAGCGTAAAGAAGGCAGATCAGCAAAGAAGGTTGGGGTTGTTTACAAACATCTTACTGTGCAAGGCGTTGGAGCGACGACAACCTTTGTCAAAACACTACCAAGCGCTGTTCTTGGGGTAAGAGATCTCAAACTTCTCGTCCTTAGAATCCTGTTTCTGACTTGTCCTAGACATTTGGGCCGGATTTATATGCCCTCCTATCAAGATTTATACCTATCCTCCCGCGGCCAGGATCTCATGGAGAGAAGCGCAACCTGATCAATGACTTCACTGGCGTTGTACGAGATGGAGAGATGCTTTTGGTCCTCGGTAGGCCAGGTAGTGGCTGCAGTACGTTCTTGAAAGCAGTCTCGAACAAGAGAGAAGGCTTTGCAGCTGTGGAAGGAGAGGTGTCTTAGTAAGTTGGTCAATTTCCAACCCGCTTGGGAATCCCATATACTGACTGCAACAGTGGCGGAATTCCTGCCAGTGAACAGATCAAGAATTACAAAGGAGAAGTTAATTATAACGAAGAGGACGACCAACATTTCCCGACACTCACAGTCGAGCAGACGCTGAAGTTCTCATTGCTGAACAAGACGAGAAAGCATGAGAAAGGGGACATTCCAGTAATTATAGGTGCCCTATTGAAAATGTTTGGAATCTCACACACAAGAAACACGCTGGTTGGAGATGTAAGCTCCTCAGGGCCACCATAATTGAAAGACACAGTTTCTAACTCAAGATCAGGCATACACCAGAGGAGTCTCAGGCGGAGAACGGAAACGAGTGTCGATTGCAGAAACGCTTGCCACGAAATCAACCGTCGTTGCATGGGACAATTCAACACGTGGATTGGATGCTTCTACCGCACTCGATTACGCCAATTCGTTGCGCGTCATGACAGATATAAGCAACCGCACAACCCTTGTTACACTCTATCAAGCGGGCGAGGGAATATATGAACTTATGGACAAGGTTTTGGTCATCGATGAGGGCAGAATGGTCTACCAAGGTCCAGCTAAAGCTGCCAAGAAGTACTTTGAGACGTTGGGCTTCTACTGCCCCGACAGACAAACCACCGCAGACTTTCTGACATCCTGCACGGATCCAACAGAACGAAGGTTTCGGGAAGACTTTAACGGCCCGATTCCGAAAGGTCCGATCGAGCTCGAAAAAGCATTCCGGGAAAGCGAAGCTTACAAAGATGTGCTCAAAGACGTAGAAGATTATGAGAACATGCTTCAAGAAACAAATCACGCGGATGCCCGGGAGTTTAAACAAACTGTCTCGGAGACAAAGTCAAAGCACGTTTCCGACAAATCGAGCTATACGGTTTCTTTCTTCCGTCAAGTCCTTGCATGTACCAAACGAGAGTTCTGGCTTACTTGGGGAGATAAAACGACTCTGTACACAAAATTCTTCATCATTATTTCCAATGGGTTGATTGTCGGTTCGCTCTTCCACGGCCAGTCCTTGGATACTTCCGGAGCATTCTCCAGAGGTGGTAGCCTATTTTTCTCAATCTTATTTTTAGGATGGTTGCAGTTGTCTGAACTCATGAAGGCAGTGTCCGGACGAACCATCATTGCGAGACACAACGACTATGCATTCTACAGGCCATCGGCTGTCGTTATTGCAAGGGTCATGCAAGACTTCCCTTTGATCCTTGCGCAGGTCATTCCGTTCTCGATTATCATGTACTTCTTGACCGGTTTGGATGTGGATGTGAGCAAGTTCTTCATCTACTTCCTCTTCATCTACGTCACGACCATCTGCATTACAGCGCTGTACCGCATGTTTGCTGCTCTTTCTCCAGCGATCGATGACGCAGTTCGATTTTCCGGAATCGCCCTCAATCTTCTGATGTAAGTCTCCCCACGACATCTTCACGGCCGCAGTCGCAGTCGCGGGGAAGCACGTTCTAAAGTCGATGACGCATGCTAACACCTTCAAAGTATTTACACTGGATATGTGATTCCCCGTCCCCAACTCCTGTCGAAGTACATCTGGTTCGGTTGGCTGTACTGGCTCAACCCCATCGCATACAGTTTCGAAGCAGTTTCTACGGACGAATTCTACGATCGAGTTCTTGAGTGTTCACCAGAAACGATCGTTCCCAGGGGTCCTGGTTTTGACAATCCTGCTTATCAAGGCTGTGCTTTCACAGGTGCTCAGGTAGGATCTCTCAATGTGCCTGGAAGGGATTATCTCAGCACTTCCTTCAATTACTCTCGAAGCAACTTGTGGAGAAACTTTGGTGTCGGTAAGTGGATCCCCAATGTGTGCTGTGGTATGATAATGCGGCACTTACTGACAAAAAAAAAATTAGTCATTGCTTTCACTGTCCTCTATATCTTAGTCACGATGGTTGCTTCGGAGCTATTTGACTTCTCGAAAGGCGGAGGCGGTGCCCTCGAATTTAAAAGATCCAAAGCCACTAAGCAAAAAGTCAAAGCAGCATCTGCACCTTCAGATGTCGAGCAAGTAGCTAAGGATCGGTTAACGAGAGTACCCGGCTCATCCAGTGAGACACTAGATGGTGGTCGACAAGAAGACGAAGCCTTGCAAGAAATCTCAGGTTCTGACAGCGTATTTACCGTAAGTGGCATTCGGCGAATCAATCAATCTCCACTGAGCCGTTTTTATTATGCATGCATTCTCATATTCAACCCTCATTTTGAGCACATGTACTGACTAGAACTCTAGTGGGAGAATGTCGAATACACTGTTCCGTACATGGGCGGCGAACGAAAACTCTTGAACAAAGTTCATGGATATGCCAAACCCGGCGTCA